CCAGCTCTGCCCTCCACACGCAGCCTGGGCTGTCCTCAGGCGTGCACACCTCAGCTCGCTCCCTGCCCAGCCACCCCTCCTCTCAGCTGCATTTGCCTACTGCCTGCTCCATCTTCCAGGTTAGAATTTGCCGAGTGCACATGGAAACAAAGGGCGTTGTGAAACATCAGCACACAGGTGTTTTCTGGCCGAAACAGAAACATGTTCTTTTATTCCCATTCTGTGTAATTCTGTATGGCTCTGCTTACAGCTTGTTTTCTTTTACAAGCTGATATCAGTGAGAAAAGAAAAATATTTCAGTAATTTGTTTAATGGAAATTTGAAAAAAATTTTAGTTTATTTATACCCTGTAAAGTGTATCTTGAATTCCCAAAATACTCAAGAGGATTTAAAATTCCCATTATGAATGCAGTCATTATATACTACAAATGTGTAGTAATAAAAATAAAAACTGAATAAAAGAAAGTAAATAAAATACTAGCTAGTTTAAAATTAACCCCCTTAGCACAGGACACAATTCAAAAGTTTTTTGTGTTTTGATTTTGATTTGTGTTCTGGGATTGAGCCCAGGACCTTGTGCATGCCAGGCAATGGCTCTGTCCTAACCCGGCCTTGACGTATCATTTTCAAATTGATGTCTTGTTTTTGTTGTTAATGAGGAAGCTGCATTAGTGGAATTGTGTGTGTTCTTCCAGGAAAGAACTATTTTGTATCCATTCTGAAAGTGGAAAAGTTAAGATTGTTCATCATGCCTGCTGTGGCTTCAGTTCCTAAAGAACTCTACCTCAGTTCATCACTAAAAGACCTCAATAAGAAGACAGAAGTTAAGCCAGAGAAAATAAGCACTAAGAGGTATGTGTCCTTTGCTATGTTGTTTGAATCATATAATTTTAGTTCATTTTCCATTCAAGTCAGTTGAGAACTTATCGGGAGGTAGAGTCATATGGATGAAGACCATCATAGAGGAGTTCTTTGTCCTGGCAGAGTGCATATGTGTTCTTCTTACGAGGGCATTATGCTGCGATCACAGGGGCACACCAGCACGACCATCTCCGCAGACTGAGGTTAAGGATTTAGGCTGCACTGCTTCACACCCCGGGACACAGATACAGGTCTGGATACAACCAAATTCTACTTCTAATTCTATGGGTGCTGTCTGACCCATAGTTACTGTTCAGGGAAGATATAATAGGTCGTAAGTTTAAGAGACAGCATGAGGGTCTGTAAAAGTCATTTGGCCGTAAGTCCTTGTCTCTTCATAAAACGAGGAAAAATACAGAGACCACGTCAGTTACCTTGATACTTGCTGGAATATAGTTTTGCTATGAGGAGGGACTCACTAAAATTGCTAATCTGTTGTTAGTTGTATCTGTATTAATGATCAGAAGATAGTAAGAGAAATTTTCCTCAGAATTTATTTTGCCCAACGCAGGAGATTTAGAGATAAACAACTATATAATTATGGAGTCAGAAATAAGGTCTTAAAAAGAAGATGGACCCAACTAGCCCTTGTCCCCAGACATGGGGAGAGTAGATTTTAGAAATTACAATGGAAAGTAAGTGTTCTGTGACTGGAAATAAATAGGAGATTCAAAAAGGAATGTTCTTTGTGAGCCCTAAAGAGCCAATCTGAAGAAACCTACGCATGCAAAGGGTGTTGTATTCTAAAGAAAATCAATAGAAGATGGGAAGTAAACAAAATATCAAGGATGGCAAGAGCCTGGTAAAAATTTTTTGCATGTCAAGGAAAATTCCAGAATAAATTGATATTTCTGAATATCGAAGAGCCCTCTTGTGGGAAGAATAAGAGTGGTTGGCTTACTTCTTGGACTCCATCAGCAAGGGTGCAGAGGTCACGGGGACAGCAGCTCTAGTCCACTCGTGTCACATGCTCTTCAAACAAGGAGCAGTCAGACCCATCTAGCCCCTTTACACAGTCTCAGGACCTCTAACTGAGTCAGCCCCAAAGCAGATCATCCCTTTCTAGTGGTTTCTCTAACACTGCCCACATCTCAGTTCCTAAAGAACTCTACCTCAATTCATCACTAAAAGACCTCAGAGGAAGTAGAATTTGGTTGTATCCAGACCTGTATCTGTGTCCCGGGGTGTGAAGTAGTGCAGCCTAAATCCTTAACCTCAGTCTGCGGAGATGGTCGTGCTGGCGTGCCCCTGTGATCGCAGTGCTGTGGGAGGCTGAGGCTGGAGCATTATAAGTCCCAGTCCAGCTGGGCAACTTAGTGACTTATGGACTGAGCAAGACCCTGTCTCAAAATAATTAAAGGGGAAGGGGATGTAGCTTAGTGCCGTAAGTTCAATCCCTAATACTGCAAACAAAAAAGAGAAAAGATTACCTGTAGACTACGTATGTGACTTCTGCTTTCCCACCAAATGTCAAGCATTTCAATTATTTTTTCTTTCCTTTTAAGTTATGTGCACAGTGCTCTGAAAATCTTCAAGACAGCAGAAGAATGCAGGCTAGATCGTGATGAGGAAAGGGCCTATGTGCTCTATATGAAATATGTGACTGTTTATAACCTTATCAAAAAAAGACCTGATTTCAAGCAACAACAGGTACCTTTCATTTTTGCATTTTTGTCATTTTTGCATAATGCAGCTGCTGGTTTCCTTGAAGAGCTTTGATTGACAGTGAACTCACTTTGCTTGGAGCGTGTGGGGTGGGGGGAAGGGACAGGGCTGAGTTGTTAGTGCCGAGCAGGGGCTGTGCTCCCGAGCTGCATGTCCAGTGTGACAGTGATATTCAGGCTCTGCTGTGTAAGAACAGCGGTGCTGGGGGAGCTGGAATGGTCACTATAAATTTGATACAGCAATGTAGAAACCAAATATGCAAACATGCTGTGATTTGGGCTCAGGAGGAACAGACCAAAGATACTGTTTGCCTCCTGGTGAGGCAGACACACTTGCCCTGCGTCAGTACGCATGGATAGCAGCGGGTGGGTCACAGTCTAAGTGACTGCCAAGTCTAGGGGCAGGGCTAAGAGATGCGCCTGGGACCTGTGCCGTTGTCTTTGACTTCTTTGGTTCCATGTCAGCCTGGGCTACATATGAGTTCAAAATCAGCCTGAACTACACAGTGCAGCCAGTGTCAAAAAACCAAAAAAAGAGATTTCCTATTTTCTAGTTATTACTCCTTAAATCAAGTATTCTAAATTTCTTCAGAAACTTGTATCTGCCGCTTCTTTTTTGGAGGCAGGATCTCACTATGTAGTGCAGGCTGGCCTTGAACTTGCTTATGTAGCTCAGGCTGGCCTCGAGCTCTGGCAGTCCTCCTGCCTCAGCCTCCCAACTGCTGGGATTACAGGCATGCCCTACCATACCTGCTCATATCCTTTACTTTGTACTACAGAATATTCAATATTTAGGTAAAACTTGTTAATTTAGTATCTCTAATGAGTAGAGAAAGACATAGTACATTTACTGCCGATTTATAAAGTGAAAAAAGATCAGTTTATAAACAGTGTTTTCAGGGTTACCCTAGAAGGGAGGAAGGATGCATAGCAAGCTCTGCATAGAACTGGAATTATACTTCACATTTTCACGGCACGTGTGGTCACCCTGAACACTAAGGGATTATGAGAGCTGTTCTTGTGTTCACGGGTAGGAAAGGTTACTTGGCAAATTTGAGCATTGACATACATAGCTGTGTATCAGTTGGTTATCATCTTTTTTACGAGTTGTAGTACTGATGGTTTGCCAGTTTTTTTTTGTTGTAACTGTGCTCCCTTAGCAGCACACAGGGACAGTCACCGACAGGCAGCCTCACTGAAAGCAAGGGGTGTCTACTTGTAGTTTGTAACAGGCATGTCCAAACATAATTTTCTCAGCATTTTTTCTTTTGAGTGGTACTGGGATTGAGGTTTGCACTGAGCTGCAGCCCCACCTCTCCTTATTATTGGATACAGGGTCTCACTAAGTTGCCAGGACTGGGCTCAAATTGGAGAGCCTCCTGCCTCAGTTTCCCAGAGTGCTGGGATTATAGGCCTTGACCCATACCTGGCCTCTCCAGTGTCTTAATAGAGTTAAACTGTGTTCACATGCTGGTTTTAACAATTCGTATGTCAAATTAGATAAAACAAATCATAGCATGTTTGCATATTTGGTTTTTACATTGGTGTATCAAATTTATAGTGACCATTCCAGCATATTACATCATATATTAACCAAGGTAGTTTTCAGTGGGTGTGGTACTGACCAGACTACACTTTTATCCATATTGCATAGACTAGAAAGGACCCTTCTGACATATTCAGGTATTAGAGAAATAAGTAAACCAAATTGCAGTTCATTTTTAGCCCAGTAGGCAATGTCCTGCCCCACGGCGCTGCCCCATGACTGCGCTCGTTAGGGTAGTCCTGCATAGAGCCAGCGCCGAGGCCTGGGCTCCTGGGCCGCCTTCTCTGTAAGTCTCTACTGCAGGCCTTTGTGAGGGGCTGTGCCACGGGCTCTGCTTACAGGTGGCGCTTAGTGTTGTGGCAGGCCATGCCCAGACGGCTACCCAGCCTCAATTTGCAGTGCCTCTGACAGAATGAGTGGCCTTTTGTAGTAAATAAAATTTCTATAGATTGTGTTAGTCAAACATATCATGTTAAGCTCTTTGTGGTTTTTTAAAGATAGGTTATGCTACTGATAATTTATTTCCTATCACTGAGTTTTTAGTTATTCAAGGCTTCCTGAAATATCTTTTTTTTTTTTTTTTTTTTTTTCCAGAACCGG